TATTCGCAGAGATTAGGTGATTCTTCAGTCTATCCGAGGGGATTAGGATTGGCTTTGTCTTCGGTGCAACCATAGGGATAGGGATTGCTTGAGTTGAGTTTGAAGTGGGGACATGAACTTTTGTTTTCAGGTTTTAGTCTATTAATGAGCTAGTTCTTTTCCAAAACAATATTCTATAGTTTTGCTTGTGCAAGCTTTTATCTTTTGTTTGTTTTTCATGGATTTTGGTTTGTGGGCATTAGTTGCCTTGTGTTTCTTGTTTTTCCACTCCATTTTCAAAGAAATTGAGACTTTTTTTTTTTTTTTGGAATATGTTATTTGGGAATCTTTTAGTTTTATATCTGCTTATCAACTTCAAATGAATTTGGTGTTGGAGTTTATATTTGATTTTGAGGGCTAGCTATTACAGTTCAACTATGTTTCCTTCTTTTTTATTTTTTATTTTTGGTCTGAAATTTCTCATTCTGTAATAAGAAATGCATTTCTTGTTTGCATCTTAGATCATTTTGTAATATTGCACTTTAAGCCAATCATTGGCTACATCTGTCACTATATCTTATAATTTATTGCTTCTTCCTTTTTGCTTTTGTATTGGATTTAATATTGATGAATCTCACTATTATTTTACTATCTAATGCTATTCACGTTTTTGTTCTTCGTTAAATTTGATTGGATTATGGATAGACCTACTATGTTTGTTGCCTTTGATAGCCATCTATAGAATTTAATTATTTATTTAGATAAAAAAGAAAAGAAAAGGTAATGGAAAAATATAATTCTCCTTCACTTCCTTTCTCTTTATTTTTCTCAACTTAAATATAAATAAATTTGAGCTCATCTTAATAATTCATAAAAACAGTCAAATTTCTAGGATTAAAAAAAGCTAAAGAAAAAAATAGGCAACCCCAATCTTGCCTAGTTTGAAACCACTAATTTTATTAATGAACCAACACTAAACATGAATTTTGAAACTCAAGACCAGCCAATCCTAGGTTTGACTCATTTAGATTGTTGGTTAAAAACCTCAAGTTATGACCTTGTGCAGTTTCCTTTTACATTTTTCTCTTCAACCCCAACTGAAATTGACTCAAAATTACACTTTGATTTTGTGATCCAATGATTATATATCTCATTATAAAGTATACTCACAGCTCTAGACCTGGAGTTTAAATCCTCATTCTCCCAAAATTGTAATCCATTCAAAAAAAAAAAAAACCCAAAAAATTGAGAACTAGATTGAAATTGTAAAATAAATTTAGCTACTAAATTAGACGTTATTCCATAAATTTAAGTGTTCATAAAAAAATATCCATTTAAATAAATAGACAACACAAGTGGTAGAAAAAGGGTATTGATATAGAGAGCAGAGATATAAATAATTTTTTACACAATTTTTATGTATTATTAAATTAATAATTACACTCAATATAACAAATTTTAAGTAAATAAAAAAATTAATTATTTAAATAAAATATAATTATACAAAAATATTATCTCTTATATTTTTCACAAGAGAAACACATGAAAGCCTCTAAGCCATTAAATCGTGCGAATAGCAAGAAAGCGCATGGATTATTAACGTGGCGTAAAAGATTTTTGAAATCTTGCCCCTATAGTTTGTCTGCAATTCAATTTTTTAACTCCATTTATTTTTCCCCTTTGCCTATTTCACGATCCACACCACACCAAATCGAATCGTCTATTTCCCCTCTTTCTCGCTCGCTCGCTTACGTCTCCTTATCTTCCAAAAACCCTAACTCTTAGGTAACTCGCTGCGGCTACTCAGTCTGATTTGCATCGTTTTTGACCGATCTTTAAACGATTCTCATTGATTTTGACTATTTTTCATGCAAGATTCGCCATGAAAGGTGTTAGATCAAAGGTTGACTCGAAGACAACTAACAGCAAGTGAGTTTTATTCCTTGTCTTGCTTTGTTTTAATTTCTAAGTCAATATATATTTTTTTTTCATATCATGGCGATTGCAATCTAAGATCTGTCACAGATTTAAGTGTTAGCCTCTTCTGTTTATCGATTTTTTTTTTTTTGGAATTTTTTTCCGTTAGGTTGAAGAACAACAATGCAGCGGATGGAAAAAAAAACTAAGAAGGCTGCGAAGTATCCAAGCAAGCCGAAGAAGCCTGCCAATGCTTTCTTCGTCTTCATGTATGAGTGGTTATAATAGGAAAACTAAAACCGTTTCTCAATTATGCTTCATGTTCTACTGGTGAATTCCTTTTTTTTTTTTTTTTGGTGATTTCAATTTTCTCTGTTTTACCTGATGAGAATAGGGAGGAGTTCAGGAAATAGTACAAAGAAAACCATCCTGACAATAAATTTGGAAAATAATACAGTTTTCTCTTCATTATAAAAAAAAAAATTTACGAGTGGTATTCGTCAATATAGAAAAAATAAAATAAACACGGGAGAAATTATAAAAAAATAAAATTGAATTATCAATTGAAAAAAAAAATCTATATAGATGGAAAAAGCTATCGGCATGGATCCTTGGCCTATAGGTGTATATAGATGGAAGTTTGAGTTTTAACCAAAGGAATTATCGTCTGTAAATGTAAGGGTCTATACAAACGGAAAAATTCTTAAGATTTCTCAAGGTCTATACCAACGGACAAGTCTGACATCGAAATAGATCTTAAGGGTCTATACCATCAGACACGTCTTTCATCGGAATAGATCCTAAGGTCTATATAGACGGATCAAGCATTGGTACATACCCTATACTGACGATGTTTTTACCAACTAAAAGCTCTTCCATTGGAATAGTCCTTGGGGAGTTTGTACCAACAGAAAAAGGGTATATATAGATAGAAAACTTTCTTCACTACAAGTACATATGCTTGTAGTGTTGGGATGATACTTTATTTTTATCATTATATTACTTGAATTGACTAGTGCTCTTACTAAAGTAAATTTAGCTCATCATGAAGCTCACACTATCACTAGTCGTGATTGTCCACATGAGCTCACATCTATGAAAGATGACTTTTCGAATACCAAATAATATGACTTAGATTAAAATCCGTCACTAATCTAATAATTCTTTAGGCCAAAATCTATGAGCTTTTAAAAACTTAAACTTAAGTTGTTAATAGTAATTGGTTATTTATATATCAAACTCACTCATGCTTCCCCATCAATGTAGCATTGCGCATAATCGATAAAAATACAACCAAGATGAGCTGAAATCATATCAAAATAAACCTAATCAATTGCTAATATAGAAAAAGAAGATATTGTAGATAGAAATCTAGATTGAAATAATCATATGGTATATGTTTACAGAATGACTATATTGGTGAAGTTAACAAATGGAAGACATGAATAAAAAGACAAAAAGTAAAATATGATGAGGTCATAATTGATGACAATACAACCACAATGAGAAAAAACACTACTAAGTGGAGCAAAAATAGGACCATAATTGATGAAAATACAACAATGTTCAGATCTAATAGACTCAATCAACTATTAATCTAGAAAAAGAAGATGAGATTGCATATTAAAATCCAAATCAAAATAATCATATGGCATATGTTCACAGAATGATTATAACGATAAAGTTAATGAATGAAAGACATTAATACAGAAATAAATGTGCATGAATACAAGGACAAATCTGCAAGCAAATGTGAGAAGTTGAAGCGAAAGTTTAAATTCATGAGGAAGTACCAGAACTTAGTGAAAGCTTTAGGAGATCTACAGTTGCAAACTTCCTTGGCTTTCTTCAATGGCTTCTTATAAATTCTGTCTGATTTTATGTACAGTTCTCTCTTTGAATCTCGATTACTATATATAGACATTATGTGTAACTTCTTATATTCCAAAAAAGTCAAACTTGTGTTTTTGGTCCCTCAACTTTGATAGACTCCCAATTTGGTCTTTAAATTAAATAAAACCTCTTTTTTTTTTCTTTTTTTGTCTTTGAAGTTTGAAATTTCAGCTCTCTCTCTCTCTCTCTTTTGGTCATTTCATTGAGTTTTAGTTTTCATGGTTTGTTAATTGACAGCAAAAGCATCACTTGTCAAACAATTAATTATGATCAATAAAACCTACAAGTTGCTACATATATAATTACTCCTCAATATGGCCTTGTTGATATCCAAAAGTGTTGAAAAAGCCAACCCAAATTGACTGCAAGGGATAAAACAATACAAATTGTCATAGGTTTAATAACTAGACTAGAAGTATCAAAATAATTAGAACTTGGTCGTTAGTAAAATCCTTCAGCAATAATATGTGCCTTACAGTGTTTTATAGAGCCATCCTTGCCCTAATTTGATTGGAAAAACCCATTTGTACCCAATAATGAGTAGGATCTTAGGTTCCCTGTTCCTTGGCAAACCAAAGCACTAAACGTATTAGACATGGCCTGCCTCCAATTAGGATCATTAAGAGCCTGGGTAACACGTGAGTTCAACAAGGAGAATTGCTATGGTTGTGGTGGTATGATACAATTTCTTGGGTTTAAAAATATTATTTTGGGAATGGGTTACCACTGGATGTGTACGATGTGGTGGTGACGGAGAATGAGCCATTGGGCTTAAGAGTTTGGTAAGTTGGTCATTTGATGGAGTGGACGGAGTGGGCTTCGATGGATGAATTGGGCTCAAGGAGCAAAACGTAATGTGTTTGATGGAGTAGATGAGGGGGAGTAGATGATTTAATGGAGCAGGAAGGATGTGTGGTGATAAGTTGATTGGTCGATGAAGTGGATAGATTGGGCTAGGGAATTGCGAGGTTAGCCAAGTGGAGAGGATGGGTTTGGAGGATGTTAGGCATGGGTGGACTTGAAGTTTGTGAGGGAAAGGAAATTGAGTTTATGGGCAGAGGGGATTCAATTATAGAATTCTAAGAATTGAGTTGTGGGGTTGTGGGAAT